TATATATATATATATATATATATATATATATATATATATATATATACTATAAACGCGACATTTTAAAGAGGCTATTAGTATGAGAGGGTTTTTAAAATGGTTCCTGGTCAAAGCTGCCTCCTCTAGACCGACCCGCTCTAGTTTTCTTACGGAGTATTATTTTGGTTTAATGTGCCCCTAGGGCGTTTACACGAACTGCGTGCATGTCCCAGTCCGCCGTAATTCCAACACCTGATAGTCTTCGTCTTCAACTTTTTGTCAGTCGAGCTCTTCACTATGTTAATTAGTTGATCAAGTTTATCTTCCACTTCTTCTTTTATAGTTCACACTTTACTGTATCCTCCAGAAGCCTGCATAGCTGCCTCATACTTTAGAGCAGCGGACAAGACATCGACCAATGTTTTGTGACGGACTTAGCGGTGTATTTTCTACATTTCATGATCACAGAGTCCATCAACAAATGTTTGGACTACCAAACATTCCATCATGTTTTCTGGGGGCTGGGTAGCCTAATCGCACCTTATTGACAATATCTAATTCGCATTCTTTGGTGTGAGTCGCTTAACCTACCCTTTGTAATATTCAAATTCAATATAGATACATTTAAGTTACATGGGAACCTATAACTCTATTTCTTAAAAATTTTAAAGAATAAAATTATTAAAAATATGTCACTTTTTTGTCCCACCGTGTAGATTATAATCTCCTCACTCGTTTGGAATATCCTATCTAATGGTGGTTTAAACTTAAACGTCATTGTTTTGGTAATTCTGGAGAATGTGGTTTAGTGCAAAAGTTTAGATTAAATTAAATATTTAGGATTGTTTAAAAATAATTAAAATATGAACAGAACTAATATTTATCTGAAATACTGTATTGAAAAACAGTTGATTATGCCAAAACGAAATAAAATAATATATGAATTTAAAGGACTTATTTCCTGTAATTTCTTTTAGGTATATCAAAGAGACTAGAAATTCAAAGAGAAAAAAATAGACATGAACACAAGAAACACCTACCTTTACATCGAATTCATCTGTATTTTGTCATCATAATCTTTTAAAACAATGGGTCTTATATCACGGACAGTTTGAAAAACAATAAAAAAAATCCAACCTTATATTGGGTTGTTCAGTACAAGAGTTGCCCAATAAGAATTCAAAGGAATTGGTCTTCGTATATTATTATTTTAAAATCATTTCTGTGCATGCCATTCCTTAAAATTGATAGTTGTTCGGTTTTATCATATCCTAAATATTCGCCACTTACGTCTAGTAGACGTGTTTTCATCTCCCTTTACTCACTATTAACAAATTATTGTTTAGATAAATATGGCACTGATTTGGAGATACATTTTAGTCTTTCTCTTGATAAAGCAATTTCATGCAACGAAAGAAACCCTTCTACTGTAAATATAATGGTACCACATATAGATACTACTTGGTGTTTTGTGTATTTCAGTACTGTGAGCAATTTTACGGTCGCACCTTGATCTATAAGAACCCTTGTCAATTTACTTCTAATTAGTAGACGCTATTGATGGTCTACAATGTTCCATATAAAATTTGTAATTAGAAAAAAATAAGAGCTCATGAATATGAATATATAATTTTTTAACAATAATAATTTAAAGAGTGTTTAAAAATAATAATAAAAACAGAGTTATTCAAAATAAATTCTTATTTAAATACTGCAAATTGAAAGCAATTTGTAGTAACCAAAGTGTGAAATTACAGTATCACTAGCGTTTTAAGCGAAACACAAACAAAATCATCTAAACTGATGAACTTTTTGTGGTCCTACATAATTATTAGTGTATAAAAACTATAACAAGGTAGTAAATGGTCTCGAAAAATGCTGTATCACTCCTACGCTGGCCTTTGGTAGGTATTCATAACTTCAAAACTTTCAAAATTGTTTGTTTAACCGCGGTTTTAATTTCATTTACAAATCATTAAAGCAGAACAGGACTTACAATATTCAGAAAGTTTCGGTAAATTTTTCTCGTATTATTGAACTAGTGTAGTTAAATGAAGGGTTAAATTCGACCTACAATGTTCTACCACAAAAAGCTCTCTTTATTTGGTGATTTTTGATTCAGGAACATACACTTGTAAACGGTTTGATTACCAAAATACAAGATGTTAAATGTTTTAAATCAAAATTCAAAATTTGCGATAAATCAAAAATGTCTTTAAATATTTTTCTTTTCAAATTTGATTCACCTACTAGATTAGATTTTAAAAATATTAAGTAGTTACACTGTTCATTTTAACTCCATAAAAGGTCTATACTTTTTTAAATACAAATGAGGAGCGAATCAAAAAAAAAGATAGAAAAATGTTTTCTTCAGAGGCATAAAAAATAGGAGTTAAAGTTACCACTAACCTTGATAGCGTGCCACTGGTTACATTTTGCAAACGTTAGTTTATCTCAAAATATTACTTAAGGAGCATATTGACCATCAAATTTGAAAATAATATTTAAAGGCATTATTTGTTTATGGAAAATTTTGAATTTTGACTTCAAACTTTATTGTATCTCAGTATCTAAGCCTTTTAAGGGTTCCTATTGCTATGACAAAATTCATCAATTAACTAGTACTCTCTGGGCTAGGGCATTGTCAGTCGAATATACTAACACTACGGATATCCCATTATTAAAAGGGTGTCCCATAAAGGAAAAAAAGAAAAACACGATTGTTTTGATTGCAGTCTGCAAATTGTTCAAGAACAATTTTAATTTCGACTCAATATTTTATTGTATCTTTTAGATGTGAACTCTCGAACAATTTTATGGATGAAATCAGAATGGACTATAACAACGCATTGGAATTTTCAATCTTATTTAGGTCGAAACAATAATTAATAATGGTGTTTATTTTAACAAGAAAACATTCACTTTAATTAAGCAATTAGAAGAAAATTGGGATTGAAAAACCATTTTTGATAAATTTTCAGCCTAAATTCACCCTATAGAATATGGAGTATAGAAGAAAGGAAAAAAATAAGTTTTGCCCATAGTTTTTTTATTACACTTAATGCATTGTCCAGAATTGTTAAAAAAAAACGGATAACTAATTATTTTTCTATTTCCCTCTTCCTACAATACACACATAGATGGGACTAATAGGAAAATAAAAGTAAACACTTGGCAACAAAATTTTAAATTTCTGAATTTATTGGTACACGTCACGGGGCATAGAGGACTTTAACAATTATTTCTTCTGTCTCCAGTGGTATCAGAATGGCAAAATTTTTCTAATGTACTTAAAAAGTGGTAAAGTTTAAAATGGAGTAATAAAAAAATGTTACTGTTATAGTAGAAAATAAGTTTTTAAGGGCTCTGTAGTGATCATAAACTTAAATTTGATAGCCATATTAAAAGTATGTACAAGAAATTGTCTTCAGTTAGATCTATTTCTCTAAATTTGAACTTCATTGCCGCCAGGAATGCATATTTCGCAATTATTGATTCTAATTATTTATAGCCCAATCGGATTAGGTGAAGAACAGGCTTGAGATTCTGAAAAATTCGAAGCAGCAATTTTCCTTCGGAATTCGTTGGAGGGGGTCTGTGGTAGTCTAAATTCAAAAAGTTGGGATTCCAAAGTTGTCGTTACCTCCGCCAGCTTGATTTAAAGGGTTATTTTTTTGTATCTTGAATAACTCATTTATTTTCAATTTTACACGGAAAATAGTTTTTACAAAAGTTATTTAAAATTAAATTTCCTACAATTCTGCTTTTTTTTGTACGATCGATTTTTTTCGATTTATACCCGAAAAGAGGGGGTGAATTTTTGGTTATAGAATAACTTGTTTATTTTCAATTTTACGAGAAAAATTGTTATAAACAAAGTTGTTTAAAATTAAATTTCCTACAGTTCTGTTTTTTTTTGTAGGCTCGATTTTTTTGTATTTATTACTGAGAAGAGTGGGGGTAAACTCTTATCATTGTATTATCACGTTTCTTTTTAATTCCAGGTATACAGACGTCATTGACGTTTCGATGGACTTTTAAAAGTGTACTGAAAAGAAAATAAATTTCATTTTTTTAATTGTAAAAATTATACTGTTCGATAAACTGATTATTTACACCCCTCTTTTCCTTTACCGTGAACGTGCGACCCAACAATATAAACTTTAGAAAAAATCGGAATCATAATTGTACCAAATAACATTTTTGAAAATCAGCAAAAAAAAAACAAACAGAAAAAATAATGGTACAACATCAATAATAAACGTGACAATACAATACTTAGGTTCACCCCCACTCTTCTCAGGGATAAATACAAAAAAATCGATCGTTCAAAAAAAAAACAGAATTGTAGGAAATTTAATTTTAAACAACTTTGTTTATAACAATTTTTCTCGTAAAATTGAAAATAAACGAGTTATTCTATAACCAAAAATTCACCCCCTCTTTTCGGGTATAAATCGAAAAAAATCGATCGTACAAAAAAAAAGCAGAATTGTAGGAAATTTAATTTTAAATAACTTTTGTAAAAACTATTTTCCGTGTAAAATTGAAAATAAATGAGTTATTCAAGATACAAAAAATAACCCTTTAAATCAAGATGGCGGAGGTAACGGCAACTTTGGAATCCCAACTTTTTGAATTTAGACTACCAGAGACCCCCTCCAACGAATTCCGAAGGAAAATTGCTGCTTCGAATTTTTCAGAATCTAAAATACTAATCCGATTGGGCTATTATGTCTAAGGAAGTTGCTCTTTGTAACTTTTTAACAAAAATGTTATTTTACAAAAAAGAGGTGTGCGATATATATGTAAGGTCAGCTTGGAGGTTTCATTGATTTTAAATCATACAATTTCAACCCTTTCATGACTTTTTATTTTAGAAAATGCTCGGGTTTTAGAAAATATAAAGACATAATTCATACCTCGTCTTTATCCAATACTCGGCAAACGTATTTTATTATTCTTCACATTTTTCACTCTTCACTTACTAAAAATTCTGTCGTTTATTTAAGTAGAAAAAAATGTTTAACCACCTACCCTTGGAAATTAGACAAACAAATTCTTTAAAGAAGTTGCGCAGACTTACCAAGGAAACTGTTGCTTTCAAAAGCCTATTATCAGGTAAAGAATTTTTTCTGGATGGTTTTATTTCTGGATTAATTGAAAGGTAAGTAACTTACATATGTGCGATACAGCCGTTCCGTCTCGTTTGTTACAGAATACGCTGTTGCCGTATTTAGTACTTTTTCAGGTTACAATGGAAATTATATTACTATTAAAAAATATTTATATATTTAAAAAATACTTCCAAATATATTTATTGTGTCTGTTTAATGCAAAATGATTCAAAAAATATCCTTTTTAAAATACCTTTCAAATTGTATATATTAAATTTTGAGTTTCCATACTCAATCACCTTTATCTTAGTCTAAACCACTCATACCGATTTCATCAACCGTTTTGTTTTGTGGATTTTCCAAATAAAGACGTTTTCGTGGAAAATAAAAGTTTAACCAATAAAATTTGAATGACTCATGGTATTACCTTTAATAATGTTTTTTTTTAAACCTAAGCTAAACCAATCCGGTCCTGTTACCAATATGTTGTAATGATCTCGTTTTTTGACCCTGATATTGACAGAGTTTGTTGATCTAATGTAATTATTTGTTTATTGGAAATAAATGATCGCCCGCTTCGTCCGTACAAAGAATTTTCATAATTTCGTTATAAATCTAAATGCATTTAAAAGAAGATTTGTGATATTTGAGAAGGAATTTTAACAACGAATGCATACTAAGATACGAATGGATGCGGTACCGGAAATGGACTGAAGAAATATCTAGATTGCGTGTATAAATAAGAGATTAGATTGGACCACCCAACTTTGACGCTTTTATTTGTAGTTATTCAACTTCCAAACAAGGACGTAAATTAAAAGATTACTTGAAACTACAACATAAATTTACATTTACGAAAAATGATGAATTCATGCAATAACCCATGTGAGATTCCATATACGATGCTTTGAATGAAATTTTATCTTGAAAATGTTTACTTTGTATGTATGGTTGTCTTGCGTGGTAAAAAATATTAACACTCTCAACGCCAAATGTATTACACCAGTGCCATTGCTACCAGACACCAGTGCCCTTGCCACCAGACACCAGTGCCCTTGCCACCAGCGCCAGGTGTATTTTTTTGTATACACCCGGTTTGGCCAAGTTTCGAACGGCCGTGTATGTTACTGAACACCCTTATGAAATTTTAGGTGCGCGAATAAATACTCTGGTCTATCAGTGTACGTCAACATCAACTGCAAAAATAGCTGTAAACTGAAATTAGGTCGAAATTATAATTGGTAAATAATAATTTTGCTAATACACTAAAGACTATTAACCATTTATTTCAAAAACAGTTAAACTAAACCCATTGCAATGAAATTTTCGTTGCACGTCATCATTGATAGTACATGGAAATCGTACCAAAAAATAAGTTGTGCCTCATATCAAATGAGGTAGTTTTAATTTGTTCATGAGTTGATAGTGATGAAATGGGTAATATAGGAGTTTTTTCCGTTTTTGTCAATTTTTACCACCAAGAACCTACGTTACGGTAAAAGTTTCTATGGATATTTTTTAAGTAGATTAAATTTGCAATTAAATGAGAATAATTTGGTTTTGGTAGGCCAAATAGTTTTTAAGATACGGCTATTTAAAAGTTTGCAAAATTTCAAAAAAAAAGTAAGTATTACAGTATTACATGCTAAAGGTTCACCTGGAGAAGATCAAAATTCATAACATTACAGACAGAGGAAGATGCTGATAGATTAATAGTAACCACAGCCATTGCCATATCCATTACTTTGTGGTTTGTCACGAGATAGAGGAGACCACATTCTTCCAACAAACAGACCAAATAATATTATATTTGTAAAATGTGGGAGAGGAAAAAACCCAGTTGTCATCTACTCGACAAATTTCTTTACGCAATTATCACAACCCGGAATAGCACTGTCACAGTTTATTGCTAAAGAATCAGTTAGCTCACTTGGACCAGTTGAATGTTCCAAAATAATATCCACTCCAGGGATACAAATTCAGGATGCGCAGAAGACTGCTGTTTGAATATAGGCGATTGTCATATATTGTATTGGTTAATGATTGGTTATGATTTCATTCTATGTATGCGCCAGGGATACAAATCCGAGTTGCGCAGTGTATAAACTGGAACATTGAGATCAAAAGTGCCGACGCAGAGTGAGCGAACTGGTTCTTTAGTTATAAACTGTGGCACTGTAGTAATTAGTAAAATGTTTATTTTAATAAATTATAATGCTTATTTCATTTTGCAAACCCTTCTAGTACATAATTGTTTACTTACCTCAACAACTTTGAACAGCTGTGGCTCAGGAACTATTAGGTATAAGTTGACATAATTGGTCTGATTTTGTTGGGAATTTAGTGGACTTTAATAACTAAAAAAAGCAACTTTTCCAATAAACCCAGTCCTTAGGGGTAAAAACTGTTTAAAACTAAAAAATAAGTAATACTTTCTTTTTGAAATTTTGCAAACTTTTAAATTGCCGTATCTTATAAACTATTTGGCCAACCAAAATCAAATTATTCTCATTTCATTACAAATTTAATCTACTTAAAAAGTGTGCATAGAAACTTTTGTCGCAACACAGATCATTGGTGGTAAAAATTGACAAAAACTGAAAAAGTCCTAAAATATAAATAATCTTTTAGTATTTAACAATGATCCGAAGGGCTTTCGAGGTGGAAAATTTGGATTTGTTATTAACATCTCATCACTACCAACATAAAAAAATAGAATTACCTTATTTGATGTAAGGCAAAAAGTACCAATTCCATGGACAATGAGGGGTAATATTTTAATAATCACCAGGTGGCATTCCTGTAACATGAGGTCTGTCGAACGATTTGTCAAAAGACTTTTTTATTTTAAAATGTTAATAACATTATTAAAATGTATTTAATTCAAAAAATAGATTGTTCTTAAGCATGTTTAGTTATACGCCTCTGTCGAGAAAAAGTTGTCTTGCCTGGATATCGATATCTGCCACATAAGCCCATTTTTATTCTGAATTTTTAAATATAAGAAACTCCTTCCTTCTCTGTGAACAGGATGCGGAAACAATGTTTTTTTGTTGAACAGATAAATCATTGCTGTTAGTCATATTGGTTGCTTTTCAAGTTTGAAGTGGGCAAAGAGGGGTAATATTTTAATAATCACCAGGTGGCATTCCTGTAACATGAGGTCTGTCGAATGATCTCTCAAAAGACTTTTTTATTTTAAAATGTTAATAACATTATTAAAATTTATTTAATTCAAAAAATAGATTGTTCTTAAGCATGTTTAGTTATACGCCTCTACCGAGAAAAAGTTGTCTTGCCTGGATATCGATATCTGCCACATAAGCCCATTTTCATTCTGAATTTTTAAATATAAGAAACTCCTTCCTTCTCGGTGAACAGGATGCGAAAACAATGTTTTTTTGTGGAAAAGGAATGAAAAGTGCTATACTCTTTATACTCTTGAATTATTGTGGAAATGGGCATTAAAAAAATGTTTGGAGGTTATATTTACTAAAGAGCATGTATTAATTAAAAATTATAACTTCGCGATATTTTACTTAATTAAACATATTCCAAAGATAATTGGTTTTTTGTTACTATTCCTAAACAATCTCCCACATGGAGGATCATCTCCTAATTGTAATCAAATGATCTACTTATATGATGTTGTTGAAAAGATACCTACCTACCTACCAAAATTTTAGGTTGTAATTTCTTAATTATTTATGAGTAGTAATCTTGCAAAATTATTAAACGGGTTAATGAATAAAATATAATTTAAATGTTTTTCGTAAATATATTTTACAAAAATTTGTCTTCCATAAAAAAGCTAGGTTAAGCTCTCAAATTACGATTTACAATTTAATTAAAATCATTAGTTTTTGGTCAGCATGTAAATTCATAAATGTAGAAAAAATTTATAACACATTTAGTAGTAATTTTAGTCTTTAAATTACATTCAAATTATTTAGCTCTTTCAAAAGTACCCACCATAATGTGCTTAAATCTAACACCAATAAATCACTTATAAACAGGGGCGGTTTCTCCATTGATTCATTTGTGCAGTGAACACACAGTTAAATTTCATAAAAATACATTATTTTAAAATTACATAAATAACATAAAAATATAAATTAAATTTTATATTTTTATTTTCATACGTGTTAATCTATATTTTTTGGTACATCATTGTCCTCTGGCTGATTGCATCTCTGTGGCACAGTATACCTAAGTATACTGTGTCTGTGGCGCATTATGATGAGTGAGCCTAACACGAGTGAGGCGATATGGTGAATGTATATAGCTAAAAAGAGAAAAAAACACGCCAACAGATTCTTCAAACTGTCAAAGAACACATTAATTGGCGCGCCGCTCACAAACAAGGTTGCCAAACCAGTGTTGCCAGTCTAGTACAATTCACAATTGTACTAGATGTTTGGGTTCGTTATCAGTAAAGACTCCCTTTTTCCCCTTCAATGAATTAGAAAAATCTGATACATTTAAGGAATCTGGTACATAACAAAAATATATTCTGGCAACACTGTACCAAATAAAACAAACTGTCATTTTGTTTTCCGTCATTAATAAACGGTTTTAATAAAATTAAGATTATTTTATTATTTGTGATCATTTAAAAAAATGTGTTTAATTGAGAACTGCAACTTTAATAAATTGAAAGGATGTATGTCAATTTAACGATTGTTCCCGAAAAAGACAAGGTAAATAAAAACTTTTTAAGGTTACGTGGTTTACCTATAATAAAGTTTTACGACTATTTTAAATAGTTTTATTTTTTTTTATATTTTGTTTCAGTGCCTAAGACCATCCAAAGACTAATTCAAAATGGCCCGTTTTGTACCCAGTTGTAAATACTATGAAGTAAGAAACAAGCAAAAAATTTTGTAATTTTTTTTCCCACAAAACCCGCTAAAAGGTAAAATTTTATTATTCTGATGAGGTAACTACTTGACATCATTATGGAAACGGAAATGTACAATACAAATTTGATAAAGATAAAGAGAC